CCAATCCTATAAAGATATATACTTGTACACATATGAACACAAGAAGAATAACTTCACAGGGGTACACTTTTACATAAAACTAGGGTTCATAACAAAAGTACATCAAAATCATTCACAAATGCGTGGGTTTCATGTGTGTCTATTTCGGTTGATATTCCTTCACAAGCAATAACCTCAACTGATTTCTTTGCACATCATTACAATTCCATTTATCCTTCAGTACAATATGAACTTTGTCTTTATTTTGTTCCCCATTCCAAAATTACTATATGTATCTTGGTCTGTCTTGCCTAAGCTTTCCTTTACTTTTCATAACTCCATACTTGATAGAAGATGAAATTGTTTTCTACTTTGAATAAATATGCCAGTTAGGATTGTAAACACAGATTCTGTTTTTCAATATGAAGTGATTTTTTATCTAGCTTAATCTACACTTTAAAAACATCTATCCAAAACAATATTCTCCTATCTGTATCAAATTACATTTCAAGGTCTAGAAGAACTAAATTATTTTTAATGAAATTAAAAGTGATTCACTCATGATTTTTTTTTCTTTTATTCATTTGCTCAATGTAATCCTTCTAATTTCCAAAAATGGTACATGAATATTAATATATTAATATCAATATTTCCTATTTTTCTTTGTTTATTTTTGATATTGATGCTGAGGGGGGCTGGGGCTCAGTTCTACTATTTTGTTAAAAAATATTGGGAAACAACTGCATAAACAAGAATATAAAGCTTTACAACAATTGTTGATTATATATCTAACCTGTGTTTAATATGCATACATTCATCAGTGGATGGCCTTGTGTGATACAATGGACCTTTTGGCCTGTATCTGTTTGATGCGGTAACTTAAGCCCATCAAATGTTTATATGTGCAGCTCCATAAACAAATTTTTTTTTTTTTCTCTTGATAATATGTATATATTTCATATGTCTTTAAGGTATCAAAATAAAAGGTTAGAATTTAAAACATTAGATTCAATTATAATAAAAATAGGATTTAGTAGTTGTTTCCCCTAATTTGATTATTAATTTGATGGTATCAACTTGTTTATATGTGTTTGTATGTGTTCTAATGTCTATGCTTGTACCACTGTTTGTTACTGTGTTTGGAGAGGGCTTAAATAGGCTATGCCTGCTGCCCAATCCATTTGTCTTTTTGACAACAAAATTTATTGAAATTGAAAATTAATCTGTCCAACACGTTTTTTTCTATTTGATACTTTACAATATAGAATGTTCAACAAAAGTTTTAAGGATCATTTGCCATTTACTAGTTTTTTATTCCTGTGACAATAGAATAGGACAGTTATCCCTTTAAATTGGTGTTATTTCATATTTTGACAAAGTGTTATTGCGAGTGGGTCCAATAGTGTAACCATGGACAGTACCGACTACACTGTGCCCTCTGGTTAGTTTAGAATTATCTTTCGTAACAATTTATATTTCCATACTAAATTGATATAATAGAGCTGCCGTTCAGGCCAGGTGAGCTAAAAATCAACTTATAAAATTTGATGAAGATCTGTCAAATATTTCTTGGTGGCCTTCCTGTTTCAGTCTCAAAATGAATCGGGTATCATGATTGACCATTGGAAACCTACATGTGAAAGGACTAGGGGCATTAAAGGTCATTTTCTGCCTCAACAGGGATTTACAATTAGATTAGATTAATATTAAGTAATATTTAACTCTTATAGCTTCTCCAGGAAATTTCAGAGTCTAGTGACCTCTCTTGCTTTCAGAGTCTATAGCTGTTTTCCATGTCCAAGCTTCTCTGCAACATCTCAGTGTCTAGCTTACTTAAAATTTCTTTTAGAATTTATGTGTTAGGTAGCTTTTTCTGTGAGTGAGTAGCAGCTAAATATAAGACTCCAGGGCCTGTATATATGAAACGGCTCTCATGCTTTAAGAATGGATTTTATGCTCAAGCCTAATTTCTTGTTCTGTTTTTAAATTGATAAACAAATTTTATTTGTCAATGATTTAGAAACATTCTGGAGAGAAATCTTTTCAATGTTTACATTTGACATTTTGATCATATGACATGAGTAGCTGGACGGCTGGACATATCTAATATATGTATGTATGCTAATATATGTATGTATGCTAATATGTGTGTATGCTTATATATGTATGTATGCTATTATGTGTATGTATGCTGTTATAAGTATGCTATAATGTATATACATGTATGCTGTGATATGTATGCATGTATCCGTTATATGTATGTATGCTATTATGTGTATGTATGCTATTATATGTATGTATGTTATTATGTTTGTATGTTATTATATGTATGCTGTGATATGTATGCATGTATCCGTTATATGTATGTATGCATGTATGCTGCGATATGTATGCATGTATGTTGAAATATGTATTCATGTATGCTGTTATATGTATGCATGTATCTGTTATATGTATGTATGCTATAATGTTAATGCATGCATGCTGTTATATGTATGAAGGGATGCTGTTAAACGTATGCTTGTATGCATGCATCTGTTATATGCAGGTAGGTATGCCGTTATATGTATGGATGTAGCTGTTATATTTATGTAGGTATACGTATGTATGCTATTATGTTATATGTATACATGTATGCTTTTATATATACATGTATGCTATTATATGGATGCATTTATATGTATTTATTCTAATATATGTATGTGTGCTATTATAAGTATGTTATACTGTATATACATGTATGCTGTGATATGTATGCATGTGTGATGTTCTATGTATGCTGTTATATGTATGTAGGTATGCTGTTATATGTATGAATATATGTGTGCTATCATATGTATGTTATTATATGTTTGTATGTTATTATATGTATGCTGTGATATGTATGCATGTATGTTGTTGTTTGCATGTATGCTGCGATATGTATGCATGTATCCGTGATATGTATGCTGTTACATGTATGCATGCATGCTGTTATATGAATGAAGGTATGCTATTATGTATTTATGCTATTATATGCATGTATGCTATTATAAGGTATATGTACGATGTATGCTTTTATGTTATATGTATGCTGTTATATGTATGTGCTATTATATGTTTGTATGCTATTATGTATATGAATGTATGTTGTTATATGTATGTAGGAGTGATGTTATATGTATGTATCCTAATATATCTATGTATGCTAATATATCTATGTATGCTATAATGTACATACATGTGTTATTATATGTATGTTTGTTATTATGTGTGTATGTTATTATATGTATACATATATGCGGTTATATGTATCTGTATGTAGGTATACTATTATGTTATATGTATGCTGTTATATGTATGTATGCTAATGTATGTTTGTAGGTATGTGTGCTATTATATGTATGTATGCTATGATGTATATACATGTATGTTGTGATATGAATGCCGTTATATGTATGTAGGTATGCTGTTATATGTATGCATGTATGCCGTTATATGTATGTATACTGATACATGTCTATATGTACTTGTGCTATTATATGTATGCCGTTATATATGTATGTTTGTTATTATATGTATGCCGAGATATGTATGTATGCATGTTGTTATACGTTTGCATGTATGCTGTGGTATGTATGCATGTATGCTGTGGTATGTATGCATGTATGCTATTATATGTATGTATGCTATAATGTATATGAATGCATGTCGATACATGTATGTATGCTAATCTATGTATGTAGGGGTGTGAGCTTTTATATGCATGTATACTATTATTTTATATGTATGCCTTTATATGCATGTATGCTATTATATGCATGTATGCTATTAAAGGTATAAGTCCGCATATATGCTATTATATGTATGTATGCTAATGTATGTATGTATGCTATAATGTATATGAATGTATGTTGTTATATGTATGTAGGAACGCTGTTATATGTATGAATGTATGTTGTTTTATGTATGTATGTTATTATATGTATGTATGCTATAATGTATATGCATGTATGTTGTTATATGTATGTAGGTATGCTGTTATATGTATGTAGTAATGCTGTTATATATATGCATGTATGCTGTTATATATATGCATGTTTTATATACAACAAAACAACAGTAATTATAGTTCAAGAAAATTTATTAAAGGTTCGAAACTAGTGACTTGTTCAGTTATACAAATTTTTAGATTTATTATTTTTGGCATTCTTGGGGGCTGCTCATAAATTTAAACTACTCAACATAACATGACCAGCCCCCACAATTTTTTTTTTTTATCTCCAATGTATATAGGTAAGCTGCGAGCCGGCTACCCCAACCTGAATCAGGGAGGTAGGTTTACCCTTTGCTCAAGACCAGCAGGCAAGTGTTGTCTCACTCATCAAAAGCCAAGAAAATATCTGAAACAAGTCACACAAACGGAAAAAAAAGTACATCTCAAGGTCGTTTAGTCAGAAAATAAATACAAAGCAGAAATACATAACCATACCTAAAACATATCAATAATATTCATACAAAACAACAGAAAAAGTATAATACACGACAAAAACAAAACCAACCACATGAAACCTTTTAAGCATTGGACAATATATATATATATAAAATGAAGGCAGAGAGGGGCGGTGGTGGGTGCAACAAAATTTAAACCGCCATACTGACCAATGCTTGTGTAAACAATGACCACTATCGACAATTAATTGAGGGCACCCTAGTCCTAATTGCTATGTGTGTGTGTGTGTGTGCGTGCGTATGTGTGTGTATGTATGTATGCATGTATGTATGTATGCTATTATATGTATGTATGCTGTTGTATGTATGTATGTATGTATGCTGATGTATGTATGTATGCTATTATATCTATGTATGTATGTATGTATGCTGTTGGTTGTATGTATGTATGTATGCTGTTATATGTATGTATATATGCTATTATATGTATGTATGTATGCTATTATGTGTATGTATGTATGTATGCTATTATATGTATGTATATATGCTATTATATGTATGTATGTATATATGCTATTATATGTATGTATGCTGTTATGTGTTCATGTATGCTGCTATATGTACAGGTACTAAGATTTATTAACAACATATATAATTTATGTGATTATGTACAACATACAATGTTATAAGGCAGGCAAAAAACAACATAATTAATTGGGGGTATAATTCCCCAGAATTACACGCCCGACTTATGGGGTATCCCCGCCAGGCACAATATTGGTGAACCTGATGGAGCTTAGAGACAATGTTAAGATAAAAACAAGACTTTAACATTACAACTTACTTACCTGGTAAATTGAGCAACCAAAAATGTTAAACAGAGACAGAAATTCAAGAAAAGAAAATTATATATATACAAGTTACAATGAACACAAATGAAAAGATACTGCGAGCCAGCTACCCCAACCTTACCACATGGGTGTATTGCTCCGACCAGCTGGCCAGTGTTATCTCACTTAGTGACCTTATCCTAACCTTAGTACTAGAACAAGCTATATATATAAGAGAGAAAAAAACATAACATAAACATGTAGGAACATAAACATGTACTACTTTCAGTACTTTGATTCAGTTCACAGATTCTCCTCTCCTTCAGTTTTCCAGGCTAGCAGGGCTTCCTCAAAGTCAAATGAAGCCCTATCATATCCTTCAGTTTTTATCAACATCACTTTTTGTTTTGTTTTGTCAATTGTTCCTACAGCAGTCAGGTGCGATACTGCACAGAAAATTCCCTTTCACAGTCTTCAGTTTGGCCACTTTCAGTACTTTGATTCAGTTCATAGTTTCTCCTCTCCTTCCAGTTTTCCAGGCTAGCAGGGCTTCCTCAAAGTCAAATGAAGCCCGAACATATCCTTCAGTTTTTACAACATCACTTTTTTTCTGTTTTGTCAATTGTTCCTACAGGCAGTCAGTCGCGATACTGCACAGAGAATTCCCTTTCACAGTCTTCAGTTTGGCTACTTTCAGTACTTTGATTCTGTTCATAGATTCTCCTCTCCTTCACATTTTTCCAGGCTAGCAAGGCTTCCTCAAAGTCAAATGTATCAACATCACTTTTTTCTGTTTCTGTTTTTTTTTTACAAGGTTTAGGTACTGCAAAAAAATAAAAAATATTAAAATGAAATATTTTTAATTTTTGGTAGTGATATTTTGATTACTATTATAATATTATTGAAATATTATAAGCATACCCTTAGACTTCTTTTTCCCCAGGAGACATCACATTTGTAATATATGTTAAGTATAGCATTTTTGGAGATTTGTAATAAAAACAAAGCAAGTCTTTCAAAAGTTCCAAAATTTCAGTTTAGCTATTTTTAGCTAAAGCTCAGGTGACCTATTGCTGTCCGTCGTCCGTTTTACATTTTCAACTTAAGCTGAAATACTGGCAAAGGGATTTCATTAATATTTCATGGGAAGGTTACTGACATCTCCCTGACCAAGTGTTGTTATTTTTCGGGTCGATCAGAAATCCAATATGGCCGCCACGGCTGCCATTTTGAAAAAACTATTTCAAACTGAAATGAAAAGTTCTAATAGGCCGATTTAACTGAACCTCGTTCTAGGAATGATCAGCTCATGGTCCTGACAAACTTAAGTTAACATTATACTTAACTATTTTGTACTCAAATTGGTACATATTTCAACAACAAAAATAAATACTGTAGGACTCAGGTGACCGTTCAGGCCCATGGGCCTCTTGTTTAATAACTGACCTTGACCTAAGATTTCTTTCAATCCCTATTGCAAATCTATACTTCAGTGTATCACCATGTCAAATTTCATAAAATCATTCTTTTGAATTCTTTTCATACAAAATTGACTCCCTTTTGCCCAAGAAATGTTTTGTTCTGCACAAAATTCTTCTAACCGTCCTCAAACTACAGGATTTACCTCCAATTCCCTATTTGACTTCATCTTAACATTCAAATCATATCCTCTCAATGTAAGATAGTTTAGTATCAAGTATCATTAAATATGTGCACATTAAAAGGTCATAACTCTATAAACAAGGGAAGTAACTCTATTCTTTATGGTTTACTTATCATTCAATTTTTTGCAGTACTTTGGGAAGTGTCGCTTTTTTCTTGAAACTGTTGTAGTGTGAACAATGTTGTGTCTACAGACAGATTGACAGTCATCCCGATTCCAATATAACTTTGTTAAACTTCCTTTCATTGCAAAGGAAAGTAAACCCAGCTGTTTTATTTTAGTATCAAGCTACACTTACCTTGTTTTCTTATGGGGCAATCTTTCCGTCCTGAGGTCAGGATTCTTCAAATTTGTGTCATCTTGACAATAGACAGACTTCCCAGCAAAGAAGATAGATGAAGCCTCAAGAAGATTTAGTCACGTCCCAACTAGTTTTGTCCATTCTTTCACAATGTATGGAAGTCCAGACACAAACAATCCTCCAGCACAAGATTTACAGAGCAGTACAACACACATGGCGGTCCATTGGTCCATCAAGCCCGACCGCACAGGCCTGATGTTCCAATCATGATGCTGTAAAGCCATACTCGTGTCAGATTCATGTCTGTATTTGGAATTAAATGCATTGTCAAAGAAGTGACAGTTCGAAGTTGAGAAATGACTAAACCAACTGAGTTCCAAATATTTCCGTTGCTAAGTCATCCATCTAGAGTTAGACTCCACGCATTCGAAAACCCTGACCAGGTGACTGTCCGAGACGTTGGACAATCTCCTACAAAAAAAACAGCTCAATCACATAACAATCACCTTTTTTTCCCATCAACAACCTGATCTTATGAAATTGTTCTTTTTTAGCATTGCTTTTGCTTATGCCGTCAAAAATACACATTATGATGTATATAACAGCACTTTGGTTTGACCTTCAGTCTCATCTGATGCAATAGGTAGCAAAAATCATACTGCTCCCTTTCAACAATGGAAAATTTATAAAAGAAATATGTAAGTGACCTTGACATTTGACCTCTGACGCATAAAACATTAGACCTTGAAACATTAACCTTTTTTTAATTTGCAGTCAGTCTTCATAACTCAACCTTTTGTAAATTTGCCGATAAACAGATGTTTCAACTGAGCATCAAGTGACCTTGACCTTCAACTTTACAAATTCTGTCCGATGTCTTAAGGAAACTATTAAAGCAGCGATTACGTTAAAGTTCTGAGGAGTTATTTATGAGATTATTTACAAGGTCAAAGCATTTTGTTAATGGTAATTCACCCATTCCTATTTACAGTATGTAGTAATTACTCTTTTCAGAAAAAAGAAGTGTCGAGCTGTTTTCTAAACAAAATTAGTATATTTCAGGTTACATGACTATAAAAAATAGGGTAAGTGGGGTTTCTTCTTTTTCTTTTTGAGGGGGGGGGGGGTTAATTTAAGAAATTACAAAAATCACCAAACATATTTTTATATCTTTTAAATAATAATATGGGGTTTAAATTTGGTTTTGATACCAGCCTGTGAAGCAGAGAGGGTCTATATATATATAGTTGCCTTGTTGAATCATCCATCAATTTATCCCAATTAAATCTGGATGGAGTGCATTTATGTGAGATATTCGTTTGTGTCGATTGGTTTAGTTTAGTATTGTTTAACCTCCTGACAACAGCTATGGTAAAAAGGTAAAAACTAGGGTAAGTCGGGGTACCCGAAACATACATTTTTTTTGGCCTTATATATTTCCTTCTCTTTCTTATAAATTTTCCAGTTTACCAGTAAATATGGGTTCCCGCTGCTAAATATATACAAGAATTCCACAGGAGTGAATGTGTTGCCTGCTCAGCGCTTTTAGTAAGAAAAGTGTTTTGGCTGGAGTTATCGCGTAAACGCAAAAAGTTGAAACTCGACAATATAAGTTCAACATTATTGCTTCTAGTATTACCGTACAAAATTTGAAAGGAATTGATTAAAAAATAAAAAAGTTCTTGCATTTACTACACAATGTCCTTATTTGGCAATAAAAGGGGCATGACTCCACCCAAAATGGACGTGAACTTCTGAAATGCGAACTTGTCGGAGCTATATTGGTATGGTATATTGTGTATCAAGTTTGAGTTCAATCAACCCCAGAGAACTCTAGTTATCGCTAGGAAACCTTATTTCGGACGTCGCAAACGCCGACGCCGACAAAGTAATACCAATATGTCGTCGTTGACATAAAAATGGCCCCTGTCAATCAATTATATATTTTCTGTATACTTGTATTGCACCTCTTTGTGAATATGTAATTTTGTAATGAGATGAAAATTATCGCTTTCATACTAAATAGGGAAAAAACTGAGTGATTGCTCAGTTACCTGATGCAATTATGTGACTCTATTCTTTAATATATAGTGGATCATAAATGATCTGCAATTACCAGTAATGATTTGAGAATAAATGAAGGTTCTTATGTTAATGAATTTAATTAACACAATTAATAGACAATGGTGGCAATAGGATCTTTATGACCAGATGGGATTGTAAATTGATTTGGCATTGAAATTTCAGAGTTTTTTTGATAGTGGAAATAAAACCATGATGCTTTTTGTCAGCGAGAACCCATCTTTCAATGAAAAAGTTGATCTTTTCATCTTAACTCTGCACAATTAAGAAATTCTCATACCTTCAGGAAAAGGCACTAATGCTTCGAATGCGTCCAGTCTTGGAACCCAACATCGTACTGTAAGAGAAATGTATAATGATATATAAACACAATTTACGCATTGATATCTCAAAACAAAGTGATAATTATAAATTTGCCATCGTTGTGAAAAGGGCATAAATGGCAAAAATTAAACTGTAGCAAATATTTCCAGGTATACAATAAATAATATCTCTAATAACAACAGTTTCCTTGTTTCACAATTGATACAAGTGTTTTTGGCTGGTGGTGAGGATGGCTTGGGGATAAACAATGCCTTGTAGAATTTATTTAGACCAGCACAATGTTCAGTTATTGAAAGAGCAAGATGAAAGGTACTGCAGATAGACAGATAACTGAACAGATGTCTGAAAATTATGCACAAAGTAGGAAATGATGGAAACAAAAGCACCATAAGCAGGTGCACGATACACCAAGGTAGACCTCATTCAAACTTTCTCGAGTATTAACTTGGTTACCACATACATCTATTAAGCTAGGTGAAAAACATCCTTCTCAAGTAGTGTTATATAGTATTCAAGACAATCAAGTAGATGAAACTATCAAATGTTGACTGACAAAACCATATTGAAATGAGACCATTTTTGGCCTTCTGTTGTTAATGACATTGACCTTTGACCTTGTGATTCATCAAGACATGTCTTTAAATTAAGGCAGTAGAGCCATGATAAGGACCGACTTAATGATGCAGGGTGTAACACGTACTACACATCACACACCAGCGGAAAAACTTCTAAGAGAAAAATGTGCAAAGGTCAACAATCAAGTGAAACTGAACAAAAGACATCCCAACATGTAACAAGGTACTAAAGAGAAATTGTGGACAAAGTTCCATACAGATAATAAAGGGCCATAACAACACTGGTAAAAATTAACACACCTCAGACTCCATTTTCCCCAAGCTCTCAAGATGCACAAGTATTAAGTTTGGTTAACATAAGTGAAAAAGACAAATGTTAACAATGAAAATGGTCCCCCTAGAGTACCTCGAAATCGCTTACAAATGTGAAGCTTATTAATTTATCAGCTAAACAAGATATTGGGCTTGCACGAGCACAGAATCTGAGTTTGAGTTTGAGAACAGATTCATTAATACTGATATTGGCCAAGGTCTTGTATTCATGAAACTGTTATCATGCTAGAGTGTCGTGTCAATTCTCTGCTTACACCAATTGTCTTATCACTTGCCTAAATCATTTGACATGGCAAAAAAGTAAAGTCTATTTATTAAATCTTTCATCAATATATCAGGAACCTATTTTTTTAATTTTAAATGGGCAGGAGCACACAATCTGAGTTTGAGCATGAAAATGGTTTCATAAATACAGGCCCTGAAAGCAAAATTAATTCTGATAACTGCATAGTCTTGATAGTTTCAAGGCATTATTATTTTTTATTGATCTGTAAAAACACATACATATTCTAAAATCAGGTTAATTCAATTTGATATTGCTTACCTTGCCTAACGGAATTTCCCCGCTCTACGGCGACACAGACCTGCCACTATGTCACACCCTTGGGCCCTTAGCACGGCCCTTTTGACTGCCTCCACACTGTGGCTAAAAGAAGAAATAAACTGCATTAAAAATTGAAATTATAAAATGTCTGTCTTTTAAAGCTCTATTACAACAAAAAGACTACTTGTCAGAATGGTAACACAAGTGTCAAAATTAGGTTGGAAGAAAATTGGTATGTAAAATCATCAACAGACTGTAATTGAAGTAAAACCAGAAAAATATAACAGCACCAAAGATCCCACGGTCATTTTCACCTATTTTAACATTGTTATTTACCTCAGTGTGAAGAAAGTCAAACCATCAAGAAACATGGCAGTGTCTCAGTGCCACCTCCAGGCACGTCCCCCGTGTCCTTCATGAAAGAAAATTAAGATAAACATGAGATTTTTATTCTTATGACAGCAACTACTATATAGATAGGATTAAATACTCAGGTCTGAACTGAATATAATGACCAATTTTGATGGAAATTATTTTTCAAAATTTTAGCTACATTCAAGGTCAACATTCAAGAGAATAAAAATCAACTGCAATGAACATTTTACTTGCTCATTTTCATAATTAATTCCAGGAGTGTCAATTACCTCTTATGGACCGGGGGCATATGGAGAGAGATCGGGATGACGGCGTCGATCTCTGCGCCTTGGACGGCGCCTCCTCCAGGAGAGATCGGGAGGGCGACGATCTCTGCGCCGTGGACGGCGCCTCCTCCGGGAGAGATCGGGAGGGCGACGATCTCTGCGCCTTGGACGGCGCCTCCTCCGGGAGAGATCGGGATGGCGACGACCTCTGCGCCGTGGACGGCGCCTCCTCTAAAAATACACAACAATATACTTGATTATGTTATGCTCGATGAACAGGTACTTCATGGAATGAATTGTTTGGTAGCACTGGTCTACATTTAATCAATTTTGATAGTTTTGGATGTATTTATCTGAAAGTGTTCATATATACATTTTACTTAAGCAGACAGTAACTAAACTGATTACATAGTACATTTCTACTTTTGAAGAACAGCTGTATAGTATATATTACCTCTATTGAATCTTTTTTGTGGGGATAATTATGTGCAACTGATACAGTTTGTATTTTCTCAATGTTACCAAGATCAAGATTTACATGTAGCCATCTTTGATATGTTAATATTGATATAGAAAATGTTTGTAACATATACATTTGCCAAATTTAATGTATATATCAGAATACAAGGTCGAACCAAATTGGTTTAGTGGAATTTTCATACAATTATTAATCAACTATTTTCATGCAATTATTTACCCTCCTCCGGGGGCTGGCAGGCCGTGATAGTCCGTCAGTCAGATATTCTGGACCAGATGACCTTTACCCTAGTCAGACTTTCCGACGCAAGAGGTACTGTTGCAAAAATAGATTTACCCTAGTTCAGCTGCACCCAACCATCCAGTCACAAGAGAATTTAACCCCAGCTCGGAAACAACCAATATGAAGCACTTGACTCAGTATGATTACATGTTCCCCTCAGGACTATCACGGAGGGGTACATGATATCGGATCCCCACATGTCACCATAAAGGTCCTTGTACCTCAATAATGGTGTTCGTCAGGGTTAAAAACTTTGTTAAGGAGTGAATAATGCAGCTGAAATGTCATAAATCTATCCAGCTTCAGATACCCCAGACGCCAAATCACCCAACTAGAGCTCAGACCACCTTCCTAGATATATCTGACCAGGGTTCTGTCCACTTACAGCAAGACAGTCCTGTAAAAAAAAATATTAGCATATTAGCATAATTCAGGTAAATTTTACATCAATTGGTAGAAGGAAATGAAGTTGTAAATTATCTGAATTAATATTTCACAGTTCCCAGCCCCATGGGACGAACACATAAACTCATACTCATAACCCCGCTCCTATATAAACCAGAACTGTACGCTAAAGGCTAACTAATGCCCCGCTCCTATATAAACCAGAACTGTACGCTAAAGGCTAACAAATACCCCGCTCCTATATAAACCAGAACTGTCTGCTAAAGGCTTACTTATGCAAATCAATATAGTCTCCCACCAGTAATGAGTTATGGTAATCACTATTTTATTAAAAACACAAAAAATAATATAACAAAAAAATAAACAAGTATTTCGCACAAAGGGGTCGATATCCAAAATTAAAATGCCAGTGCGAAACAACATAGGATACCGATCATTCATGCAAAGTTCCAACAAAATCCACCAGTTAGTTAAGGAGGAGTTGCACGGACAAGTATTTCGCACAAAGGGGTCGATATCCCAAATTAAAACGCCAGTGCGCAACAACATCGGATACCGATCATTCATGCAAAGTTTCAATAAAATCCGCCTGTTAGTTAAGGAGGAGTTCTCCGGACAAGGATTTGGCAAAAAGGGGCATAACTCCATCAAAAAGGGTCGAAATCCCATATTAAAATGCTAGTGCCAAGAAACTACATAAGATACTGATCATTCTTGCAAAGTTTCAATGAAATCCACCTGTTAGTTAAGGAGGAGTTCTCCAGACAAGTATTTGGCAAAAAGGGGCATAACTTCATCAAAAAGGGTCGAAATCCCAAATTAAAATGCTAGTGCCAAAAAACTACATAAGATACTGATCATTCAAGCAAAGTTTCAATGAAATCCACCTGTTAATTAAGGAGGAGTTTTCCGGACAAATTACTGTGGACGACAGACAGACATCCAGACAGATATCCAGACAGGGTGATTCCAGTATATATTGTAAGGAATTAGTCTAAGAAGGACAGAAAAGTGGCTCTACAAATATCAATATGGGTAAACAAATGGTGAAACCAGTGTTTCATGTACGTTGGTTTCTATTAATACATACTGCAGATATTTTCCCCAATTGACATCAGGGGCTTTTTACCCAATTCACCATCAAAAGCAAAGGCAGACAGAACTTTTTTTAACTAGAATGCCACGTGGCGTTGCCCGACTATAAATTGATTTGGTTATATTAAAGGAATAAATAACCTTTCCATATTTTAATGTAAAAGAAATATTTCTAAAAATATTAAGTCATGAACACAACGAACCACAAACATGTAATTTAACTCTTGATTCGCATGGATGCTTGAATAGTACAACAGATTAATTAACACATACATGTACAGACAAGTGAATGAAATAAGGCAACTAATTGTGAATTTCCTCATGATTTTCGTGACACATTGAAATTGAATTTTCATAAAACACTTATTAACACAAATAGTTGTGGTATATAACTGCAACATGTTGATCAGGGAGAATGAATTGAACTTCTTCATGCCGACAGGATACATACAGTTTTATGAATTACAGCAATGTAAGGTGATTAATAGCAAACATATTTACCTGTCGGTCTGGGGTAGTTCGCTTGCGACATTGGTCACAGGTCGGCTGAAACCTAATGTCCATCCTGTAAATAAAAATAATATACATGCATTATTATCTCCCTTGAAATGTGAGCAAAAACAGTTGGTAATAACACTTGAAAATGACTCAAACCATGAAATCAAATTGAAATATGGCATTATCAATCATTAATTTTTTCAATTGAAATATTTTTTAATATTGAAACATGTATATTTATATATACATACCAGAACCGCTGACGGATTTCCCATGCTGTTCTCATGGACGACGCTGTAAAGAAGAGCGAAAAGATAAAAACTCAATCTTTTGGTGAATGGGGCCTGTGACTTTTGAATTAGAAAATTTGTATACGTTGCAGTTGATCAAATTATCAACATGTTTCCCAAATAATACTGAAAAATTAATATTTCTCAATAACAAGTATCATCCTTAAGATCTAGTATCCTTATTTATGAAAAAGGATTTCATTTTAGATGTTAGATTTAAGATAGAATTTGTTTATTAATGAGTTAAAATGAGAAATTTTAAAGAGATTCTGTCGAAAATAATACACTTTTTTCTATAGGGGAATAGACCCAAACTTCAGCTGTAAAACAGACTCTGGACAACAAGAAATATTATGTCAGGACCGGGGAAAAATAATCAGAATTGCAAAGGGCTATAACTTTAGTAACAAGAGGCCCAGAGGGCCTATATCGCTCACCTGAATATGTTAAAAATAATTGGTACGAAGTAAAGATATAGCACTCCATGGTAGGTGCTGTAAGTCCATATGCAATTTCAGAAAGATCCATCCAGTATTTGAGATATAGCGAGAACAAACTTCCAACAAAGCCCCACTCCTTTACCCCTAGGGGGGTCATACCCACCAATTATACAAAATTGAGACCCCTTGGCCCAAGGATATACTCCAGGCCAAATAAGGATAAAATCCCTTAATCCCAATGGTCGAAGAAGGATTTCAAAGGTTTTACCTCTATTTCTCCTACTGCCCCCAGGAGGGCCACACCCACAGTTTATAAAAAACTGAATCCCTTGGCCCAAGGATGCTCCAGGCTAAATTAGGATAAGATCTTTTAATTCAAATGCTAGAAGGATTTTAAAGGTCTTACCTCTATTTCACCTATTGGGCCCTGCCCCTCTGCCCCCAGGAGAGCCACACCCACCGTTTATGCAAAATTGAGTCCCCTTGGCCTAAGGATGCTCCAGACCAACTTTAGTCATAATCTACTTGGCTGTTCAGGACTAGTAGCATTTTAAAGGAAAAGTTGACGGACGGATGACGGACGCTGCGGTATGGCATAAGCTCACTATGATCCTACGGACAAGGTGAGATAAAAATTGATGCAGGATCCTGATTTTAAAATCCTCAACCTCATGCTGATTTAATATATTACTTTGGAAAATGCATGATTATGCAAAGTAAAATCCTACACCTGTAGTTTAAGGAGCTGTGGAATGTTTACTAAATGTTATGGCTATAGGAGTGTTGCTGAATGTTATCAATTTATATTCGTCTCTGGTCTCTTTGAGTCTTTTTTTCCCTGTGGGACTAGTTTCACTCAATTGCAAATTAATTTAGGCCATATTATAACCCTTATAAAAAATCAAAATTGGTCTGACTTGAATGATCTATGAATCTTCAAATGATACCTGTGACACATACAAACTTTCCTAACATCTGGGTGAAAACAATAGGATAAGTTGTGCACACAAGTAAAATATGTTTCAAAGGGCCGTAACTCTTGTAAGAATTGACACATGAACCTCCATTTATAATAAGCATATATCTTTATATGATCCTTGTGACAAAACTGTATACAATTGAAAACTGGAGATAGTTGTGCTCACAGGAAAGATTTGCCAAATTAAACAAAGAGTCACAACACTTGTAAAAGTTTTATGCAAATCTTCATACGATACCCTAAGACACATACTTAAGTTTCAAAGGGCCATAACTCTTGCAAAAATTGATGTAGTATACAGCCTTAATCAAGTCCAGTTCACTCTGCCGATTGAGCTATATAGCTGTAAAGACCTATAATAGCTCTATTGACCTATCTGATATAGGTCTTTTGAGCTATTTTCATGTGATTTTCTTTTTAAGGAAAATGAAACAAAGTCACTTTTAAAAGAAGATATTATCATTAGGTTGATAACAAAAGACATTAAATAAAAGCATTTTAAAAAAATGGTGATGTAAAAAACTGAAAAATGTAACATTTATGAAAAATGAAAATAAACATCTAAATGTATGCTTTTTGTAGTCAACATTACCATCAACCTTATTGTTTTATGCGACTTTCTTTTAATTTAATGAAAATTGAAATCTGAGAAAATATAGCTCAATACAGCTATAATTTATAGGTGAATATAGCTATATAGGTCTTTATAGCGATATAGCTCAATCGGCAGAGTGTACTGGACCTGTTAATTATATATTAAATCTTCACATGATTACCATGTCACATACAAATTGTAAAATTTGTCCAGACAGGATATTTTCAACAGATAGACGAATGACCGAACAGATTTTAACCCAATTCCAGTAACTTATATCAATGATATAACAGTATCACATGAATTATATTCAAAAAGTGCTTAATTTCCATAGTTGGATCAATATAATATTAAGATCTGCAGAGATGTAGCTTTCAAGGAGGAGGGAGTGGGAAGAATAATGTTGTGGGAAGGTAGGGGGGCTTTGCTCCCGTATCTCAAGCTGTCTCAAGAAGGCTGAGGGGCGGGGTCAAAAACATTGTTGTGGGTTGTGACCATTTTAAATGACCACAAGATGATGTGCACAAGGAGATGGATAGGAGGGGGACTGTGTTAAAGGTTGTTTCTTAAAGGATATGAGGGGTTGGGTCAGAAAAAATTGTTGTGGGTCAAGGTCATTTATAAAATGGCATTAGGCGATGAGGGGGCTGAAATGCATTGCCTCTGCACCTCAGTTCAAGCTCGGTCTATGTGCATGTGACCAAGTGCATTTTCATTGGTCGAGAGCTGTTAGCACGAACTCAGATTTCACGTTAAATTCAATGACACCAGGAACGCGGTAAGACCTATCAATCAATTGAACGCGGGGTCATTGAGGGGTGCAGTTTTGAACAGGTACCTCTGATGAAGGAAATTTTATATAAGATTACTCGGTGAAGATGAGTGTCTTTTCTACAAGAAATATCAACCGTTTTAGTGTCTTGTTTTTTCCTACCATGCAACTTTACCGACGGGTTGTCCCTATGCGAACCCCAGCAAAGGTTTGATAGTTAAACTTTTTGTAACACTCATCACAAAACCAATCTTTCCTCATTTTTTACAGAGACGTACATACTAGATATATTGCTTTATATATGTCTCTGTTTTTAGAAAACCCCGAAACACCAATAGTATTTTTTGAACTTCATATATTTCATCACGAAATTAGATTATCGCATTTTTTTTTTTAATTTTGAAACAAAAAATACATGTAGCTGCCAAATAATGTAATGTTTTGTTTTACTAGAGATTGAGGAACAAAAGATGCCCGGAAGATGGGTGCGACACAATTTTGGCCGACAAAGCCAAGTTTTGTCATGGCTGCGGTGAAAAAGTAACATATAAAGTTATGTGTGATTTGGAAATGAATTAATGGCCAATTCTAAATTCTGTCCATCTTGTTGCCGTCCTAGGCCTGTCGTGATTAGGCCTGAGCGAGATATATACCTCAGCTCGTATGAGTTGGAAACTACGTTAGACATTGAATATTATTTAATTTTATAACTTCAGAATGTGTAAGTTTCTAGGCCGATCACAGGGACCTGGTAAAACATGTAAAATTACTCTGAACACCTTAGTTTAGGACCAACTATATAGCTGTAACAAATTCTCAGGTCCCTGTGAGGCCGATTACCGGGCCCTGTTCCGGTTCATCTCGAGATGCTAGGCCCAGTAATATAAGAGGTCAGTGAAATGATTGTTTTCATGTATCAACGATATTCATTAGACACATTGGCTTATGTATCCAAATGTTATAACTAGTAGCAGGCCTGTAACAACCATGTACAAATCCGTTACAAGACTCAGGAAGCTTTATCTAACGTCGAATATAGGATTACCTCTATAGAGCTATTATTACGGACCTCGTAAAAGTAACAAGAAATAAAAGCTGGGTTACATTTAAAACATGCTTCATGATCATTACTTTCTTTTCTCTGTACCCAAACCTTAGAGACACCAAATTGAAGTGTGGTATTCGTTTGTTGTGTGTAAATCGAACCCCAATACCACACATGGTTAAACAAGTAAGGGTAGGTAGCTTGTTGAAATAAATCTTTCTTAGAAAAAATATTTTCGCAATGGTTATAAAGGGGGTGATGACTTTAACAGTGCTTCCTTTGAGATTACAATAACAAGTGTTTGATACAAAAATAGGGTCGATAGGGTAACAAGAAACTAACAGTATATCTTGTTATGCCTTAAAATGATTATTTTGTTATAACTATTAGAGGAATAAAATTGATTGTAATCCAGCAATGGGTGACATTGCCAAAGGGCAAGGTTTGTGGGTCAGGGTCACAGAGGAGTTCGTAATGAACAGGAAATATGTCCAATAAAGGACCAAGCGAGTTTATGCCATGATGCGGAGTCCGTCGTTCGTCCGGCGTCAACTTTTTACTCTAATCAAATTCTTTTAAATAAACAAGAGGTCCTGCGTGATACTATTTGGCTAGTAGAATGCTGGCATGAAGGGTAACCAAGTTTGTTCAAATTAATGACCTTGACATATATTCAAGGTCACAGGGGTCAAATATTTAAACGACTTCTTCTGAATAACAAAGAGGCATAAGGTGTTGATATTTGGCCAGTGGCATGCTGGGATAAAGGGCTATCAAGTTTTTTTTACAAATTGTGTACAACTGAAAACTGGAAATAGTTGTGCTCACAAGGGCCATAACTCTTGCAAAAAATGATGTAGTATACCGCCTTAATCAGGTCCAGTACACTCTGCCGATTGAGCTATATAGCTGTAAAGACATATATAATAGCTCTATTGACTTATCTGAAATAGGTCTTTTGAGCTATTTTCATGTGATTTTCTTTTTTAAGGAAAACGAAATAAAGTCGCTTTTAAGTCGCTTGACTTATATTCAAGGTCACATGTGTAAAATATGTCTAAAACATTTAAACAACTTCTCCTGAATAACGGAAAGGCACCGGATAATGATGAGGGCTACTAATTGTGTTCAAATACATTACCTTTAGTCAAAGTCCTAGGGGTCAAATATGTTT